TTTTCCAGAGGGCTGCACCAGTTTGCATTCCCACCAACAGTGCAAGAGGGTTCCCATTTCTCCACATCCTCTCCAGCATCTATAGTCTCCTGATTTGTTCATTTTAGTCACTCTGGTGTGAGGTGATATCTGAGTGTGGTTTTGATTTGTATTTCCCTGATGAGGAGCGACGTTGAGCATCTTTTCATTCATACCTAGAGTTTTTAATGCTCTCTCCCATTTCTACCTTTCCTAGTACCAAAACTTCAGACATGCACACAAGCAGAATGCAAGTGAACCCACTGCCCTACACCCCAACTAGGGACCTGAGTCTGACACCGTCCACAATGCAGGGGACCCTGAGCAGACAGGGAACAGGAACTAGTCATTCAGGATCACCCTGTGTAATATAAACACATAAGACACCCATCAATCCCACCTCCAGCAGACCTTCTGATGCTCCTGCCCCCAGCCCCAGTTCCTGTTTCATACTTCGGGGCTAACATTCTGGGCACGGAGCTCAGCTATCCCAGAATTTGCATCAGGAATAGTCCCTTTGCCTAAATGGGGCCTGCAGAGCCTAACAGAGAATTATCCCTTCAGATTTTGTCGAAAACGACCTCTTAGACCATGAAATTGCCCTCCACAGCTCCACTGCCAGTCCCTGATCCTCCCTTCTCAGACAGCTCAGAGAACAGAGTTCCTAGCAGCTTCACCTCCTGGGTGACCCAAGTTGACATTCATACTTCACTGACACTCAGACTCAGATAAAGGAGAGCAAAGGACGTATAATTTGGGAAGTCACTTTCACCTTTCTGGTTCAAACAGTGCCTCCAAGGTAACACATAGCATCCCACCTTCCATTCCTGGGATGTCCATTGACTTTCCACCCATTAAAATTAACCAAATACATAAGTGCAGATGATTGACTCATTAAATTTCCCTCAGAGCTTCTAATCCACCTTCTTTCTGTCTCCCATTCTGCTCTCTATATTTGTGCTTCCACACCCAACATCATTTTTTAAATTACTGATAATGAAAAACAAGAGAAGGAATGTTTGCTCCCAGCAAGGCTCACCCAATATTTAAATCCTCCTAGAAAAAATGAACATATGGTATCTAATTCCCAGGGTTTTAGAAAGATTAAATTGCATAATGTGACAATCCCAGCCCAGCATCCTGGACACAGTGAATTCTCATACACTTGGAGCCTATAGTAGATACTCAATAAACATTCCTTTCATAAATGTGTGCATATTATTTAGTCCATACAGCCTTGCTCAGACACCACAGCCTTATCTAGTCCCTTCTCAGCTTGCAGGAGATGAGCAGAGAATGTCATCTTTCCAGAAGCTGTTAGTAATTTCCACTGGCAACAGCAGTATTTGTGTTGAGATAGGATGATGGTTGGGCATAAGACAGTCAAGTGTGCTCTTCTGTTTTCTCTTGCTTTGTGCTACTGGAGATGAAGTCTGGGGAGAGCAATCTTACTGG